CTGCAGGAGCTGCCCTGCGTCCGCGCCTTTGAAGTCTTTACTGCTGTTTAATACCACGTTTTAAACAATCTCTGTTAACTTGGTATCGGGGAGAAGAGAGTAGCTAGCTGAGCATAATACTAGTATTTTAAGTGTTTCAGGAAGAGCTCACCTGAAACAGTATTATCTACTAAGCTGTATTGGGGGCCTAATTGTCTGTTTGGCTATGTCCAAGGAAAATCACTGTACAGTGCTAGTTTTCTGGTCTGGCAGTATGTCAGGTTTGCATCCCTAGATGTAAATAAACAGCGGATAATGGAGCAGTTAATTATTTTTGCATTCTCTGAAGACCCACAGGAGGACTAGGGGACCTGAAAACAGAACAGTTCTCATTTTGAAGATAGTATCTGTGATGGCGGTCATAAATACAGTAAAAGTCCTAAACGAGTTTTAGAAGAAAAGTTCAAACAGGTGGAGTGAGAGCTTAAGAGCAAAAGCCGATTACAGGAGCAGCCAATATGGGGAACGGGCCGTCGGTCACTGCCGTAACTGGGGCCGGAGCAGAGCTTCTTCCCGCAACGTTGCCCTTCTTGACTTTCAGCTACCACTCAACGGGTGCGAGTTTTTGTCGCAGCGCAAGGGAACGTGGACTGGGGATACAATCCAGTTACAGTAACCATGGTTGGTCCCAAAGACTAAGTATCGCCCAGCAAATCTTTGTTTTGAAAACAGGTCACTTCCTTGGCTGCTGTGAAGCTGTGGCTGGTGGAGCGCAGCGCGTTTTGCCCTTTCCCGGTACTGGAAGTAGACATGCTTGTAGACTACCTCGAGCCTCGTGTTGGGCCCTTTCCTGGGCCATAGCTGAAGTCCGCTTACTATTTACCAAAATTAATGAAGTGTAAACCTTGTAAGTGCAGACACGTAGTTGGTAAATTAAGAACTGGTTTAAAAGTTTGAGTCTAATGCTGGTGAAAAATGGTTAAAAAATAGCCTCCTGTGACATCTTAATTTGCACACGTTAAACAGAAAACATGGCTAGGAAAGCAGGAGTCTGAAGACGCGAACTTAATGGCTTTTCTTTAACAGCCCAGGATCTGATAGTGCTCTTATCTTCTTGCTTTAATGTTAACACTGGTACTATTGTATCAACTTAGCAAATCCAAACCTGATTTTAACATACTTTAGATATACTTTAGTCTCTCAGTCTATTTGACTAAACATGTCAAAGTATGCGGGGTTTTATGTGTACATTAAATGACGTAGAGAAGCCTAAAGGCCAAAACATCAAGTAAGTGCGTGCCGAGAAAAGCAAAATAAACCAGTTTTAAGAGTTAAGTGTTTTAGAATGAGATGATTTCACTTTTTGGAAGCCCTAATTATGGTGGCTAATGCTAAAACACTAAGTCTTGCTTCAAACTTGAAATAAATATATATCCCAGGACCAAATTAATTCGCTAAAGGGGGTTTATGCTTGCCTCAATTAATTCTGAGCCAGGTGGCCATGCTCAGGGGTAACGGGTGAGAGGTGCGTGAGGGCAGAGAAATCACTGTTCAGCTGTCAGGGAGGGGAAAGCGCCCGGAGGAGCCACGTCGGGGTACCCGGCCTGGCAGAGGTCAGCACCTCCGCCGTGCTCCCGGAGGCTGGCCTAGCCTCCAAGAGGCTTGGGACCTCGTGTAAGAGTGAATGCAGGATATATGCTCTTATGGCATGATGTAAGCTGTTTGCGTAACGTTTTCTTTCTTTCTGGCACAGAGGTAGGTGACAACACTAGGCTGCTCCTTAGGAGAAAAGCTTGCTTGAAAAGGGAAAATTCGGTCTGTTGTTCATGTTTATTACGGCAGTGTTTTATAGACCTGCTTAATTTCTGCTAGACGTTGCACGGAAACTGCAGCAGAAGGTCCTTGATGCAGAGATTTTGTAGTTTAGATCAACGAGACAAGTAGGGTTGAGGAAGAGATGCTGTGTGTGAGCAATATGATAGGCACAAATGTTGCGGCAGTTTTCATCATCCCAGGGATAAGTGAGGTGATCTTCCTTTTAAAGACAGTTTTTAAATCTGCTTCTCTAGCACGGACCTGCTCTGAAGTGAATTTAGTAATTTTAAACTTCTCAGAAACCCTAATTATGGTAATTAATATTCAGAGGCTGAAGTCGCACTTCAAACTTGAGATAAATATACATCCCACCACTGAGTTAAGAACTTGGTAATTAAAAAAAATAGAAACTGAAGATCTATTCAAAGAACACGTTTTGTGTTAGTAGATTGATTTTAAAATGTTCATGTGAAAACTTCATGTGAAATTTCACATGTTTAATATAAACTCATTTTTCTAGTCAGTGAAAGCCTGAACAGGATAAAGTAAGATGTGATGTCATATATTGGACTGGCTTTGATTTATCCACACCATGCAGACAGTGGTCTAACCTGCTTCTGTTGTTAAAGCTGCGTGTTGCTTGAGAGTTTAATTAATATTTCCTGTTTTGATGTTCTACTCTTAGAGTAGGTTTTCAGAGACTATAAATCTTACACAGTGATTTTTGCAAAGTACTTACCTGGTTAAAGCTATTCTTAGCTGCTTGCGCTGTGTTACTAGGAGTTGTGAGGGACCGTTTTTTTAACCTTTCTGTTAACATTCAAACCCTGACTTTGAGGCTCTTGGATATTTTGCTTTGTGAGTCTTAATTATACTTGAATTCTCAAAGCCTAACATCTACAAATCAAATATTTATGCTGAATTAGACTTTATTTAAAAACCACAACGCTAATTGCTTTTTGGTCTGCAAGTGAAACGTTAATGCCTTCTTTTTTCCCCCTATAAAGCTGTGCTTGCCTCGGGGCCTGCCCTGAGAGGGTCAGGGATTCGCTACCCCAGTCAGATCTGTTGATTAGCATTTCTTGAGACACAATGCAAAGCAGTATTTTTTTTTTTTTTGAAGCTTTTGGGAAGAGTGACTCCAAGAGGAGAACTGAGTTTTGGTGTACTGTTATTAGTATTTTCTCGTGTTGTTGTTTTCCTTTGTTTTATAGGGAACTTGTTGTAACATCAAGTTGTTTTGAATAGAGTAGCTTTTTGTCCTTTCTGATCTTGAAATCCTCTAATTATTGGGGGAGCCAATGCAAATGAGGTTCAATTTTAAAAATAAAAAGAATGCCAAGAAGATGCTTAACTGAATGTAGCATCCATGTCTGCCTGTTCCCACCCGCGCTGCCAAAGAGGCTAATCGCAACAGGTAAAACGACCAGCACGCTGTCATCGCTCAGTTCCTTGGAGGAAATGCTTTCTCCTCTGTCGCTCAGACAGTCAGTTGTTCACGGGCAGTTAAGTCTGCATGAAAGTTGCTGTACCTTTTTGCAGGTTACTGGATGAAAGACTTGAAGTTCGATTTCAAACACTGAAATCTATGGCATTAGAGGAACAGCATTTGATGTAAATCAGGAAGAAACGCTCTGTTTATCAGGAAACTCACAAAAAATAATTGACTCTAGGACTTAGCGAAAAATACTTGCTTGTGTAAAGCATGAAGGATGAATAGTCATGTAGTTAACATCTCTTTTCTTTGCCTGAAAAGAAACGAGTATACTTTTACATAAACAGGCCCAGAGGACGTGTGATATCTTGCAGAGGAATCCACGCTGCGATAAAGTCAAATCAGCCACAAGCTTCCTGTGTAACTTTGAGCAAGTGACTTACAGTCCTGGACCTGTAAAACCAGATTACGTTTCTCGGGGGGAGGGGAGGATGTGAATTGTAATATTTTGAAATACTCTCGAGTTGTTACAATGTTGGGGATGAGAGGGTGATGGAGAAACGAAGATTCAGTTCTTCCTTCTAAGTGTCCAAACGTTTTGGAAACATAAGCATAAACCTGCCTGAAGCGAAAGGCCTGTTTGTCCTGTCCGTTGGAGGAACAAAATACTGTCTAGCTCCTATCCACTTGCTAAAACTCATTCCTTTCCGTTTGTGGGGCTTTTTCGGGATCTTTTCAGATGTTTCTTCCAATCTGTGTATTGGGGTTAAAGGGCTGCACTGGCTGTTAGTGCTAAGTATCTAAGTTTGTGGACGATAGCTTCAAAACGATTGTTCCTCTTTTCCAGAGTGACGTTACCACTCTGGAACATTTCTGATCATGTGAGTGGACCGTTTCACTATGCGTGTGCTCAGTTATCCCGGCTAGACTGATGACGTTCGACAGGCCTTGAGCAAAACTTCCTGCTCCCTTCTGCCTCCGAGAAGTTAAAGCCTGTATTCGCGGGGGGATCCGCTCCCTTTGCTTTTTGAACCCGTGTTCCTCGCTGCTGTTCTCCGTTGATCGTTTTAAACTTGCCGGTAGAGCTGTCTTCTGTCCTCTTACTGCCTGGTAGATCAGAAAAAAACTTCTACAAAGGGAAGATGTAGTATTTGAAGACTGTGTTTATAATACCTGGTAGGTACCTAGTCTACTCTCGCTCAGAAGTTTGTGTTTCGCCATCTGGTTGATTTCACTGCGCGTTCAATCACCGCCTGGCTTGTTTTTTGTCAGAAGGAAAGCCACATAGATTACTAAGTTTTCTGTGGATTTCCAATAATAGTACCAGTTAGTTGGCTTTCTCATTTTTGGTCTTTTTTTGTTTGAATTAAAAAAAGATTGCTAAATAAAATCGGTTCCAAAAACCCAACCCCCAAACAAACTAGTGACAAAACATTAAAGAATGCCATATGGCTCCTACCCGTCTTGATGCTGTTAGATTTCTGAAGGGTATATTCCGTGTTATTAATAATATTTGAAGAAACACTCGAAGGATGGGAAAATATTTCCTGAACTCATTATGAAATATATTATGAAATATACTTTTCATAGCTTCCTTACTCTAGATGTTCTAGTCAAAATAATAGACGAGTATAAGGGTTTCTGTTGGATTAACCCTCACACAACAGGTTAGATGATGATGGATGCACTGGCAAATAAAATTCAGAGGGCTGGGGAAAGAGGGGTGCAACAACTTCAGTGTTTAAAGGTTAACAATATGTCGGTTCATAATATACTCACTCTTCATACATCTTATGACACTGAAGTCTCATTCCAGCAGGAAAGGGGAACTGAAATAAAAGATCAAATACTAATTGCCAAATCTTTATTGTCAAATCAAGGCGAGGTTTAAAGAAAATAAAGCCACGGATGATGACTGATCTAATTTACTCATTAAAGGACTTGTTTTGTGGATATATAAGCCCCATGTATGAGCAAAGACCCACAGTCTCTCCAGCTGTCAGGTGGAGGTGACTGACTGAACTGAAAATTACAGGAACTAACTAAACCTCTGCTGGTTTTCAGTTCACATGGCTTATAATGGTAGCAAGTAAGAGCAAGAAAATGTGTTGTCACATTTGACTGTTGTAACAACTTAATTAGAACTTTCTCTAAACTTTTGACACATGCATTTTTTAAATTGGATTGTCTCTGAAGTATTTTTAAAGCAACAGGAGAGAAAAGGAGGCTGTGTTTATGTGCTTGGGTTTTTTTGATCAGCTTCTGTATTTGTATACTTGAATATTTAAGATTCCAAGATTTTTGTGCAGCCTTTTCTCCCCACATAAAACCAGAGATTCTTGTAGAGAGTATCCCTAGAAATACCATCTAAAAATAAAAAAAAAATGCACAAACATCACGAGAGTTTCAGATCTCGATGATGATATTTTGAAACTTGTCCAACACTGAACTATGTAAGGTTTTGATTATTTCAATGGGCTGCTGTTTTCTAGAAGCGTCCATTCCATCACTTGTTCTGCCAGCTGTTGTTGCGTGTACACGGGATGAATATGAAACAATTCATTTAACGTACCTGCGAATTTCAGAATCCCTTTCACTAGCCTTCCATTGGTTTGCAAATATGTTGTCGGTATTGAAATCAATTCTGAATTATAATTAAATAATTTAAATGAACTGGGTATCTGAATGCATGACTAATTTTAAATAGACTGTATTATGCTTCAATTGAGCTATGACAAATTGAAATTCCATTGGAGCTTTGCCTGTGAGAATAGAAAGGGCAGAGCTGCAAAAAATACTCCAATTTCTGGAGAAATATATTCCATATCCATAACTTCAGTGCCTTTAGAGAAATTTCAGGCTCTTTTGGAATATTGCTAAAATGTCATTTTCAAACCTTCATCCTTGAAAAGGTTCTTGTCATTAACAGTAATCCAAACAGTAAAGGGGTGACAAAACCAAAGCATATTAAACGTTCAGCTTGCAATGAATGTAAGCTAATGGTCCTAGGTTAAATTTACAGATATGAATGTAGCAGAAATAGTTGCCTAATATAATGGTTTTGAGCTGGTAGTCCATTGGCAGAGCTTTGTTTTATTCCTGGAGAAGAAAGCTGCTTTTAGCGAACTTGTTTGTTCGAATGGTTTGTTGTTTTCAAATGAAAAAGCCGTTTTGTAAAATCCAAGTATAAGTAGTGGTGAATTTGATTTTGTTTTCAAGTGCAGCTTGTCAGTTCTGCAAGCTTTTACTTCTCCACGTGTTAAGTACAGTGCAGGCAGCTGTAATACTGTTTCTCTCCTTAGCCACCTTTCTTGAATTTCAGAATTTAAATCGAAAAGGTCGTTATAGTGCTTGTATTTTCTTTCTGTCCCTGTGTTTCTTTGCTCTCAGGTCTTTGATGCCTTTGAGGTTGTTGCCCTAATTGTGAGCGTCTCTTGCTTTAATCTTGAAGGCCTCTCCCAGTTCCTACCTCCTTTCCCATTTGGCCTAGAAGCTTCAAGCCTCCCACTAATTTCTGCTGTGATTGTACAGTTTTTTGAAAATTGTGTTTCAAGAGTATATGGATTAACTTTGCGTAGGCCATCATGAGCCTTCAGATAGTAATTTATTTTGATCATTAAGAAAACCAGAATATATATTTAACTGCATTATTTAATTATGGAAACATGACTTTCTTATCCTGTGGTATTTAGTGTGCTCCTGTGGTATTACTGTATTCCTGTGGGAATACAGGAAATAAAGCAGTTAGCATTGGAGGAGAAAAGACAACTTGAAAGAAAAGACTTGCAAATGATAGCACTTAATTGCCACAGTAAGTTTGAATATACAAATTTTCCCTGTCTTAGACACAAAAGGTGCTTTATAGCACAGTGTTAAGGCTGCTGTTGGGAGAACAGCACTGGTCATAAAATCCATTTTTCTTAAACCTACTGTGCTCCTGCAGTCTAGGCGACTGGCCTTCCCCTGCCCTGGTAACTGCTGCATTTATTGCTTAGGAGCATCAGTTATGTTTGCTCTTGATGACTGGCATTGCAGATGTGTCCCGATGTGGTACCTTAACCGTCTTCTCTTTTATTTGTCCTGTAGGGTAGCAGTAATTCCTCAGGGTGCATGAAATATTGGATGCCTGTGGAAAGCCATGGCAGCTGATGATAAAGTTGCCATTTTAACAGACGATGAAGAAGAACAGAAAAGAAAGTATGTACTTGCTGATCCTTTCAATGGCATTTCCAAGGATCAAGACTTGCAGCCCCAGAACGAATCCCCTTCGACAGAGACAACCACTGTCCCAGATGAAGAGCTAGACTGGTTAGAAAAGCACTGTGTCAAAATAAACAACGATCTTCTGATTTCAAAGGTCTTCTATTTTTTCTTCTATTCTGCATATGGCTCTCTCTACCCCTTGCTGCCCGTGTATTACAAGCAGCTGGGTATGTCACCCAGCCAGAGCGGACTTCTGGTGGGCATTAGGTACTTTATTGAGTTCTGCAGTGCTCCCTTCTGGGGAGTGGTGGCAGATCGCTTTAAGAAAGGGAAGATTGTCCTTCTCTTTTCACTTTTATGCTGGGTTTTGTTTAACCTGGGAATCGGATTTGTGAGACCAGCCACCTTAAGATGTGTACCAAAGGGCCTTCCCCCAGCCCATCCCACCAATGCAAGCAACCTTTTAACAACAGTTTTGCAAAATGCCTCTATTTCTTCTCTGCTAACCACAGCAAATACTACATCCCAGAAAGTTCGTGGGAAGAGAGACGTGTTCACTTCCAGTTCAGTCACTCTGGAAACAATAGGGACTGCTAATCCTGAAATAACATTCCTGTTACCTACTCAGAGCAATGACATGGAGTTTGCCTTGGAAAACAGTTCCCGTTTGATTTTGAAAAACACGACTGCTAGCCCAGTCTCACCAGGAAATATGACTCGGAGTACCACTCCAGCTGCTACCACCACAAAGCCAATGCCTTCTGACCAAGCTGTGCTTGTTTATGATCATCAAGAAGTAGAAGCCATCTTTCTACTCATTCTGTTGGTTGTCATAATAGGAGAATTTTTCAGTGCTTCTTCTGTTACTATTGTGGACACTGTAACTCTGCAGTACCTCGGTAAACACAGGGACCGGTATGGATTGCAGCGCATGTGGGGATCTCTGGGCTGGGGGCTAGCCATGCTGTCCGTGGGAATTGGCATCGACTATACCCATATCGAAGTTGGCATTGAAGGTCAAGGATGTAAAGCTCCTGAGTACAAGAACTACAGGATAGTTTTCATAGTGTTTGGTGTCCTGATGACAATGGCATTGATTGTGGCCACACAGTTCCGATTTCATTATACGCACTTCAAGCAAGATGAAGATAAGAAAAAAGAAGTAGAAGTATCACAGGTGGACAGAAGTATCTCCAATGAATCCTCTGATAATACTCCCACCAGTATGAGCCAGTCGCAGTCTTTCAATTTTTGGGATCTAATAAAACTGCTGTGTAGTATCCAGTATGGCTCTGTGCTCTTTGTGGCTTGGTTCATGGGGTTTGGATATGGCTTTGTGTTCACCTTCCTTTACTGGCACTTGGAAGACCTGAACGGCACTACCACTCTCTTTGGAGTTTGTTCTGTGCTCAGCCACGTGTCTGAGCTGACTGCCTACTTCTTCAGCCACAAATTGATTGAATTGGTTGGTCATATCAGGTAAGGAGATGTTAGCAATCATTAAAGAGCTATACAAAAAACGTTCAATGTTTGGCCTAGCCTTGTGTTACAAAGTGAAATTCAAGTTAATCTATTTTAAGGATGGATTTCCTTTTATTTTAAAATTCCAAACTCTGCTCAGATATGTAGCTGTCTAATTGAGTTCTTTTATTTTAGGAGCTTACAGCGCTCTGAAATGCTTCCATAGCATTTTAGTTATGTGTTAGTACATGCATTATGCTGGCAATGTGACCTTCTGTAGATAGTTCCAAAAGACATCCTAGTTAACTGATGGAAAGCTCTGTTAGAAATCTTCTCAAACTGCCTCCTACTCAAGGGTTCTTTGTTTAGAAATATAATTTCTATTAATTTTGTAACTTTTTCCTGTGAGTAGCAATATTCTAGAAGTCTCCTGCTTAGCTGCTCCTCCTTGCAGGCTGGCTCTTTGCTCCCTCGTTCAACTGGGAATATGGCCCTTGTGCGCTGGGAAGGGAGGAGCTGGGAGGGATGGAGAGGTGAACATCTCCTGTGCAGGTGCCCTCGTAATCAGACTCTAGGTGTTGGCAGAATGAGGTTGCAGCCTGGTAGTGTTGCTTACAGACTCAATTCCTTGCTCTGTGTTTTTAGCTGCAACTCCGTGTTACCTACTTACGTGAAATGGCTGTACAGTTTTTGCACTTTTTCCCTTGTTAAGTGGAACTGATTACTTAACAGCATGTTAGTGAATTTTTTTTTAACTCTAAATTCAAAACTGACTTGATATGATTTCTGCATATTTTAAATCCATTCATTCTTCTTCAAAAAAGCTTAGGGAGGAAGGATATGGGGTGATCTCAGTTAATGAAATTGTAAAGGTTTTTCTGCATGCATTCAGGTACTGTGTGCATGTGGGCAGAGTACTCTGTGTACTGTTAGCCTCTTGTCTCTTCCAAATACCCTAGTTACAATCATACAGTCATTTAGATACAAATCTATTTTCAGTCACCCGATTACACTGTTCTTTCTGTGCCTTTTCTGTGTGTTTGCTTTTTGAATTTTTGTTTTGCTTTTCATTCGGATGAATCTTTCGGTTCATTTGACCTCTACTAAAAATATGTTCGAGATGCTTAGCACGCTAATTTGAGAGATCGCTTAAGAGACAGTGTTTTGGATTTTTTTTTTTAATTAAGGATGGTCTTTCCACTTTGAGCTAGTGTTTTATTTTTAATTTCCAAATTTAAAAGTAAGTAATTTGAGAAAATATGACACCTTGCATGCAAAGACTGGAGGAAGGATATGATAATGGAGGAGTGGTGAGAACAGATCATAGTCTTGATAGCAAAAGATATAAAGTATATGTGTATTGTTATAGTATAACATTCAGGGTTAGACTTCAAATAAAGAAAAAAACAATGAAAGAAAGGTAGGCTTATGAATAAGATGATATAGGAGTGATAAGGGGGATAGGAGTACTGGCCTGTAAAAAGAAAGATGTTGTACAGGATTAACTCTTTTTTTTTTTCTTTTTTTTTTTTTTCTTTGCATAGTAAACCTATAAATCCCAGATTGGATCAACATAAGTTGTTAAAACACTAGCTCCTGTTTGCAATGAAACAACATTCTTTATAGATATACCTGGAAAATGCATATTAGTCATATCTTAATGTTTTCTAATGCTTATTCATCACAGTTTATGAGCAGTCACCTTCTGGCTGCCTTTCTTCTCCAACTTTTTGAATTTTGCTATATAATGCTTGATCTCTTCAAGAGAAGACAAACTTTTTAAAAAATAGCATTGATAGTTCAGAGTTCATACTCTTCTCTGATAGTTCTGTGTATGTCTGCTGCCCTACTATACAGGTGTTCTTTCTCCCATTAATAAGAACCAGTAGTCTACAGCTAGGTAGGTATCTTTTCTCCTAGATTGCTAGACTCCCATAAGTAGACACTCAGTCTTTCCGTGTTATCTTAACAGGGATATCCAAAGAATATCCTAATTCTTTGAAAACAGGCTTGAGTAATACAGTTGCATGCACTGTCACAGCAGCAAGGAAAAAATACTATTAACTATCCCTAGCAGAACTTGCAGAACCAGAAAATGGGCTTTACACCTTTGTCAGAAACAAACTCAGTTTTCATTTTCCAATCTTGTAAAGCTTTCTGCTTCCTCCATCGTATATGTTGGCACATAAGCTCCACACCACGTTCTGAATATATTCCATTTTCACATATTGGTTGAACTAGTATTCAATTTACTGTCCAAGCATTTTAAGCAGTACAATACTGAATATGCATTGATTTAAAGTGCCTTATTTTATGGCTTCATTAGCTTTACTGTTCATAAACATATGTTCTGCATGTGCACAGATGTTATGTATGCTGGTAGCATTTCTGAATTTGTATGAAATTAGTAGGTGACTAGATGAATCTGGTGTAGTGATACTGATCAGTTCAGCTAGATAACTGTTCTGTGATTATACGTGTTTACGGGAGGAAAGGAATTTTGCAGATGTTAGAGGGTTTTTTTTGCCTTTCTTCCTCCAGCCATCTTCTGAGAGTTGAGAGAGTAGATTTTTCATTTAAAAATGTAGACTAAATTTAAAAGAAGTCAGTCATCAGAAGGTGTGGTGAAGGCTACAAGTTCTTTGAGAGGATCTGGTGATGCAAGTGTACAAAACGGACTGTCAAATGTTGAATGGTGTCCTGTGTAGAAGCACTCACAGTTGCCCTTGAATTTAGGAAGATGTTATTAATCTCTGAAAATAACCTCCTGCTTGAGGTTAAGCTTGAATGTATTTGACCATAATTTCAGCACGTGAGCTTTTATGGGAAGCAGAGACTGGTAGTTGTGGCTGTAAACAGCTTAGTCTTAACATAAATAATAGATTCAGTGCTTTAAGTGTTTAACCTGTAAATTGAATATGGTATCTCTGTGGATACTGCAAATATTGTTCATAAGGAACATCTGTTTACATTATCCATTTAGGTCCAATAAAGAGCCTAAGTGGTTGCTATAAATAGGTTTTCGAAAGATTCTGTAAATATACAAAAGTTTTCGTGTGATGTGCCCCTCCAAAAGCAAAATTATAGAAATCTTCATATGAATAACTTAAATGTGTCTAAAACCACATCCTAATTCTATTAAATTAAAAGGTAGAACCTGACTAAATGACCCTTATTAAACTCCAGATTATTCTTCAGATATGACATTGTGAGGGCGAAAAAAAAAGAAAAACAGGTAGCTGAGTGTATTAGTGGCCATGGAGTAGCTATGAAGCAGGACTTCTCTGTTCATATGTCTGATCTGGCTGTCATAGTGAATGGTTAAGATGGGAAGAAGGTTCTTGCTGGATAGTCAAACTTTTGCTAGACAAAAGTGAAATTAAGCTGGCAGGAACTAGTCCTAAACAAAAGGCTGGATGCATCTGGGTACTGATGTGGAAAAACAGGTATATGGTGATGTGGTTCCTTTACACCTCCAGGAGTATGCGCTATGCTGGGTCTTACTGGTGGACCCCACTAGTCTCTCCTCCTTAGCTTTCCTTCCCTTTTCTGGTAAGCGTTGTAATACAATTCAGAAGTGTAACTGTACGTAGGAATTGCATTAAGTTGTGGCTGTAGAAGGAACTAAGTTACTTCTTTGGAGCAGTAGACATTAAAGAGGGGGATAAGACTTACGATGAATGGTACACAGAGTAAGTTTGTTCTCTTTAGCGTATAGTATCCAAGTTTTTCACGGTTTCCCATGTTTCCTTCAACTAATGCTTTCGCTGTGTTGCATAAAGGCAACCTACACCAGCTGTTGATGGACCTCACATGCATCTGGGAGCAAAACAACTTGGCCTGATGAGGAGTTTTGGGGGAAAAAAAAACCTACAAGCTTACCCAACTTATTGAAAGTAGAACGTATTGTCTTCTCTAAGACTATGCTGTTGCAAAAGGCACAGACCTTGAGTGTTTTATGATATCCCTGACATAATGAAAACTATCGTATTAGTATTTTAGCTGTCAACATGCATATTTAGAGACCTCAGATGTTAACAAGGTGCTGCTTCTTGTTGCTTCTTGCTCTAGATTTTGCAGTGTACCATTGAATTAGATCTTGCTGTGCTTTTTTGGAATAACTAACTAAAAATTAGCACAAAGAATAGAGAGTCCCTTCACAGAATATCTATGCTTAGACCTTTATTATCAATTATGTGTATTTTACTTGTGCCAAACCAGGGGTCGACCAAGAACACTGCAGCCCTATGTTTGGACAATAGTTCCTGTTTCTGAAAACCTTTAAAGGTTGCAATGGCATCTTTTCTCAAGCCAAAAGCATGCTTGGAAATAAGTCTTTGTTTCCTAAAAATCCACCTCAAAATAAGAGGAAGATAGATGGATAAATGAGGAACTTGTCAAATATTAAGGTAAATTAAGCTAAAACTGAAGGGAGAAAGTCATCTGGTTAAAAGTGCAAGGGAAATGCACTGTGAATATAGTTTTTGTACTTCATTGTTTAAAAATTGTTATCAGAGCTTTTTTCTCTTGCTTTTGAGATGCAGCATCTGCTGCTTTTCAACAGGATGGTTAAGTTTTATCCTGAGGCACGTTGCTATAAACCATATTGTTTCTGTGGGATGTGTTTTTAGAGTAGTTCTGAGCAGTTTGCAGACACTGGGAAGATAAATTTATATTAATCAGGATAAAATTAATTCATGTAATATAAACCTGCACTAAGTCCATATTAAAATGGAAAAATTGATATCTGAATGCTTAGAAAAGAGGGGTTTTTTTTTTTTGAATGTGTTTAGAATGAAACTATAAAAGCTCAGTGGAACTGTTGACCCTTTTGACTTTTTTTCCATTAGGAAAAAAATGACATTTTGAAATGACATTTAACTTCACTTTTGTTTTGAATATATGTGTATTTGGTGTGCACAAGAGGAGAGTTTATGTTTGGGTGTAGGACTTAAAGGAGGTGTTTTTTGTTGAGCAAATGCTTCGAATGGGCAAATCCCACTGTCTGTACACGTGCAAATGATTTCCAAAGCAGTAAGGTATATTATAACAAACAAAACGAGGAAAGTGCAAACCATTATGACTTCTTTTTTCCTTCCTTCCTTTAGAGTGCTCTATATTGGTCTTGCCTGTAATACAGCTCGCTACATTTACATCTCGTATCTGGAAAATGCCTGGACTGTTCTCCCTATGGAAGTACTTCAAGGTAAGACAGTACATTATGGTACATTACAGTACATTAATGACCTTCCAGTTTAAGATCATATGCTTATATTGTTCTTGTTTCAACTGAACTGTGATTAAGTAGCAATCTGGTATTTCTCTATTCTTTGACCACAAATACCCCAGAAGACCGAGTTTCATAAAACATTATTGTTTATCTTGGAAAATATTTGACGTCAAATGGGTGGGTCTGCATTTGATTGTGCCTGGTTCTCTGTTGATTCAAACAGAACTGTAAAAGATCAACACACCCTTTAACTAAACAAAGAGACAGAAACATGAACTGAGTACACACCTTCTGCAAATCCTGTTTGGTGGATAAATATGAACTTTATTAAATGCAAAAGGTCACAGTACATGAAAGGATGCTTTAAAAAGAAAAAGAATGAAGAACATAATCTGGGTCACTCTGTCTCTATTAAAATATTTTGCAGTTTTTCAGTAGTATTTTTTGATTTATACCTTAGATTATGTTGTTTTTTTTTTTTAATAGCTAGAGAGGAATTCCTTTAAAAGCTTTGTCAGGGCTAATAGAGCTTCTTTAAGATAATAGCCTTTTGCATGATGTAGAAGGACAAAGGTGTGGTCTGTGCAAAGCCATTTGAATCCTGTTTTCACATTGTGTTGTCGAAGAAGTTTATTTGTAAGACCTTCGTTGCACTATTGAAGTATAAATTGTTCTTATTTTTTTATGTCATTTTTATTCCCTCTTTGTAGTGTGCATCACTACTCAAACACAAGAGAAGAATCTGAACAATTTTGCTTTCTCTCTCCTTTATTTGAAGAATGCTGAATTTGGATTTGCAAACTAGAGAGAGAATGGTTAATTTAAATGCAGAAAATGTTTTCCCTGCCACTAAAATTAACTGAGCCATCTTCCCTAAAACCAATATTTTGACTTAATAGAATGCTACATAGAAAGTTTTCCGCAGATTATACTTAGAGGTTTTTAATTAAATTTCTGTGTGCAGCCTAATTTGAGTTTGCACTAACTTTTTCTATTATATATACAGAAATCTTTGTAAGATAGATTTTAACCTGGGTTATAAAATGTCATTCGAGAGCACTATGTAGATCTCTAAATATACGTAGAAAAAAATCTGTTTCTGTCCTGGCTTCTTCCCTCCCTAAATACAGTAAATAATTTTTGTTGTTGTATTAAGAAAGAAAAGATGCAAAACCACAACTACTGGACTGATATTTCATCTCTCATACCAACTGTTAAAGCATGAAAGTGTGACAAAGAACCTGAAGAACGTGTATGTGTTAAATACTCTTGCCTGCTTAAACATCTAGGGAGGATGAATGTTGAATACAAGGGATTGGATATTGCCTTGTAGATAATCCCATTTTAATGACACCCTGACTCAAAGAGGAAGCTTATGTCTCAACAATATAGCCATGAATCTGTTTCTCGCATCCTGCAGTTGCAGCTGAGAAGGAAGTTTGTGCTACTTTGTACCTTTTATTTATTCTACTGAAATGTCAGTATGATCTGTTTATTATATAGGTTTACTTTCACAGAAGGGCTGTGAGGAGGCTCTTTTGGGAGACTTTTTTGTACGGCATAATCTTGAGTAATTAAGATTAAGAAAAAAAAACAACTGAGGAGCTGCAAAATAATACTTTCTCATAAATGTTTCTACCAAACTTTATCTATATCTAGCCACTGCTGAATCATTTACATTTGAGTCAATCTTATTTTTTGAAAAATGAAAATTTGCAGTTATTTATAGTCAGCAAAACAGAGTGTTTAAAAAAAAGTGTGTGCGCGCACACACACACACACAGAACAAAAACACCCCTCTTCATGTTTTGTGTGCACTTCTCAGCCTGCATCTCATCTGTCATTGCTGTGAGTGGACATGAAGTTGATAGGCACAGTATACATATATCTCTAATTATTGCCACTACATTTGTTACTTCCCAGTAATAGCATTCAGTATCTCTCTCAATGGGAGAATGAGTTCATCTTTTTAGTACTACTGGGTTTTTTTGCCCATTATTCTCTTCTCCTCCTCTTTCTTATTGATTTTCTGTATTCTTGACTTGTTATTTCTTTTGCAGCAATTTTCAAATCCTGTTTCTTTGGGCCCCGCTTTCTTTTCTATATACGCGGTGAATCTGTCAATAGGGATAATAGGTGACACCTCAGTGAAATTTGGAGAATTGGGAACTCTCACTTTGGTTTAAGCAAGTCTGGTGACTGAGGGAGATAAAGTTGCAGCTATTTTGCATATGTGAGGGTTAGGAGTATTTATAAACAATGAAAGATTAGATCATGCAGAGTATGTGGGTACTGTATGGGCCACGTAACTGCATCAAGCTGATAGAGCTTCTAACTCTCTTGGTGAAGCCTATGTTGTAACTGAACATAATTCTCTTTCTTGGAAGCTGTCAGGTTCTATGCAAATTCCAGTACCTGCAGCTCAAGGGTTTTTAAGGTCAGCAAGTTTAGCTGAGTCTTGTAAAGAATTTATTTATTTTTTTTTTGAATATGTTTCTGAAATACAAGAATGATTATCCCCATGTGCTATGCTGAAGGGCATGGAGGATTTCTGGAAAATGACTCTGCAAATGACTGCAAACTGCATCTATTGATTGTAATATGAACCATGCCGTATTTCAATTGCTGTCACCCTAACTAGGATGGTGAGGGCTCTTCAAGTGCATTATACTCTCAAAGGAGTAAACGAGGAGATTTAAACTCGCTTCTTAATTCAGAGTTCTGAATCTGTATGATTTATTTATTTGTACGTGCAGTGTATGAAAATAAGGGCTTAGGTTGAACCTTAAATAACTGAAAGTTTCAAGACATTCTGATAGGTACATATGTATGGTAGGTATGTGTATAATATGCTGTATGTCATTAGTCTCTGAATATGCAAGGAATGTTCATTTTGCAGTTAACTGATTATATTTCAATATTCTAGTGAGTTGCAAATTATTGCTCATATTGTTCCAAAGCAGTGGTCCAAATTCTGTGGCAACAGCTATTCTAATAAACTAATTTGCATAACTGGAATTTTTCTAAAGTACAGAACTGTAATAATAACCTGCAAATTAGTTATTTTCAGTTACTTATTAGCAGTTTTTCATCAAACTCCAAAACAATATAATTCTCAGAACTGGCTTCTATCCTACTGATGCTCCAGTAACACAGTTATGTTCTAGAGAATAAAAAAAAAGCTTGGGTCTTTAACTGACAATAACTATGTTATCATGTATCTCTTTTGAAGTAAACTAGGCTCCAAAATCTTTAAGTCTTGACTGAAGTTTACTAAATATTATCATTCTGAGAGTAATACTGGGGTTGTCACAAGCATTAGTACTATAGTGCAAATGGCCAAGGAGGGTTAGTAGTTACAGCAAACAATGTCAAAATATATTTCATGGCAGCAGTAGCTTCAAAAACAAAACAAAACAAACCCTGATTAGCTGTAACGCAGCCTGACCTTTTAATAAGAGTTGTCGTTAAAGCCGTTCCAAACTGTCACTGTTGTATAAATAATTTATAACTGTACATTATTAATGTGATTTTTCTGATGATTATCTGTATCTTTAGAGCCATACATAAGCTAGTTTTAAAGGGAATGGACTTTTTTTTTTTTCCAAAAGAACCAAGAACGCTATGTTCTACCTGGATCTCCTAGTTAAAGGTGAAAAACATCCAAGAACCTGTGTATTAAGTACAGTCTTTTGTTTTCAAGCAAATATAGTAGTATTGTGCTTAACGGTTGGGGTAATTTCTATTGTGCTTTTCATTTGCCTGGCTTTAAAATTTGATTTACTCTTCAATCATTGAAAAAACTGAATATTTTGTATTAACTGATATTCATTGTTTTCTCATTGGCACATGCTCTTCCTAAAGGCACGTCATCTGTGTTAGGTTCGCTTTGCTTTGTGACGAGGACAATACTTGGTTGCTATCTTCAGTGCCTATGTGGATTGGCGTTTAACAAAAAAATTAGTAATAGAAATCCAGTCGCTTTTAAAACTCAGAGCTTTTTCAATGGAAAATCTGCAGTTTTAAAGCCTTAAACTGTAAATGATAGGGTAGAATACACTCATCCTAATGTAAGCCTTTTTTCAACAAGATGATGTGCTATTAGCAAAAACAATTCCACAATGATAAATGTGATCCTTATGTACTTTGCTGTCCTTTAAATAGTCCTCTTTTTACAAACCAAAAGGTTGTGCAATTTTTATTCAGACTTGGAATTAAATTGGAGAGTATAGCCCTGTGGACATCAAATGTACACCAACTATATTGATTTCATATGCTGTTTTTTATCATTTTACTACTAAGCAATAAGTGAGATTAATCTGTGAGTATGTTTAAAAAAAAAAAAAGTGTGTTGTCTTGCTTTTATGAAACTTCAGCCTAACCACAGAAGTAATTATTGAGCGTCCAACTGTTCCTTAATAAGTTAAGTGGGGAGGACAGAACCATGTTGATTGAATCATCAGTTATGCCAACGCTTTTTTTAAATTAGGCGGTAGAGCTTAGAATGTCTAGGTACTGGTAAACTATTTTTAATTCAGCTGAAATGAGAATAAATATTCCCACTCAGTCCGAGGGTGGCAAAATAGTTCAGGCTTATTTACTCTGTATCAAGCTACAAAAGTGCTATTTTGTTTCTCCAGCATCTCCTAACCCTTCTTTTTCTTGTCCGGTTCTCCCCTCCTCCAAAAATCCTACCCACCAGGCGCTCCAAGAAGATTGAGTCTGCAGCCTGTTTCTGCATGTTGATGATCACTTGCTGTTTTTCTACTTAGCTGTTATTTTTGTGTGGTAGGAAAAATTGTTTATAACCCTGAATGTACGATGCAAGTACCAGAAAGAGATGCCCAAAAACTATATGGGTGAGCTCTGACTGTGTTGGATATATGACCGTTATTTGTAGCTGTGAGGACCTCTTCTGTTCTTAGTCCTTGGTGTGGGTGCAGTCTGAGTGGACAGCATGCCTGGTCAGGATGCCATCAGAGCGGTGAGAAAGGGTCTCTTTGATCTGCCTCAAAACAGCATACGCAGAAATCACTGTCTTTGGCCTATCCTGAGGAGCTTGCATGGTCTGCCAGTCCAGACTGCTCAGTGCTAAATGCAGAGTGTTGGTGCTGAGTTCAGAAAGAGTTTGTTTGGGGTTGGGTTGGTGGGGAGTGAGAAGGGCAGAAGGGAATTCATTCTTGCCTCTGAAAAAATGATGCAGGTATCTCTGAGACCGTTTATAGGCTTTGTACCTCCTTCATTGCGTCAGTAATGAGACTGCTGAGAAGCATCAATGCTTTAATTGCCTGTAGCTTATGAAATCCGGAACGTATATCCAAGGCCCCATCTCACGCTTGAAGGGATGAGGTAGAGAAACTTTAAAAACATTTTCTATAGCTTTCCTAGGGACCTTGTCTCCGGAAGAGAAATGAAGTCATCTTAGAGAAAGAGCTACTGCCAGACTCTACAGAAGTAGTCGTCACATTTCCCTGTGGTGTGGTTGCCAAAAATATTACATTATCAAAAGCTGATTTGTATTTGACAAGGCATTAGTCACTGTTTTGTCCCACAGTCAGGGGTTTTGTTTTGTTTTCCTTTTTTCTGTAATGCATGTTCCACCTGGTAAGTGCAATTGTTCTGATGTGTAAGTATACTTCAAGCCCTGTACTCTTCACAATGTTTCATCTCTCTAGGTGTTACGCATGCAGCTATATGGGCAGCTTGTATTTCATACCTTAGTGCAGCGGTGCCTCCGGAGTTGAGAACGTCAGCCCAGGGAATCCTGCAAGGTCTCCACTTGGGTCTGGGAAGAGGATGTGGGGCTATGATTGGAGGGGTTTTGGTCAATTACTTTGGTAAGCAAAAATTGTATCGAAGGATTTTATTTTATTGATTGAAATTCTGGTTTTACAGAACTGCTGCTAACTTAAAACTTATTTATATTGTATTGTATTATTCTTATACAAAGTGCTATATTTTAAAGAGTAAATTGTGGAATCTTAGGATCGCTCAGGCAGGGAGGGATTGTAGGAGGTCTTCAGTCCAAACCCCTGATGAAACAGGGTTAATACTGAATTCACACCAGGTTGCTTATGGCTTTGTCCTGTCATATTGATTCAAAACGTTAGATCCTGATAATTTTAGGATTGTGTGAGCAAATCTATTAACTAATCCTTAGGTAAGATGAATGAATCCTTTGTGAGAGAACAGGTTGATATTATGTAGCCTCTTGATCAAGAAATGAGAATGTAGTTTTTCACTTAAAAATCCTATACCAAACCTGTTGAGGAAAAGCGTTAGGAGGAAGAAAACATGATAAAATAGCTTAACGAGTCTGCATGGGATGCTATATATCCATAGAGTACATTATGCTGACTCATCTTGTTTTACTTAGGTAGATTCTCAATTTAAAATACATATAAATCTATTTCTCTCTCTCTCTCTCTCTCTCTCTCTATATATATATATACATACATATATAATCTTCATAGGTCCTGCGGCAACATTCAGGGGAATAGGAATGGCTTGCTTAGTGATTCTTCTTCTATTTGCACTGATCCAGTGGATGTTGGTTCCTGATGAAGAAGAAGGTAAATCATGTCACTGAGACACTGCAAAATTATCAATGGTGAAAATGACATCTCCAGATGTCATTCCCTGCAGCTTTAACTTGGTCTGTTTGATGTCTTTTCTTGATTTTTGACTGGACAACTTCTTTTCAAATGAGAGGCTTTTTCCTGAGTAATGGTAGAAATTGAGGTGGTGTGCTGCTGCTGTACAAAGTGCAGCACTGAGTTCTTGGATTTTGATAGGAAGAAAGTTAATATACTTTACTGCCTTTATGTCCTCTCAGTTCCGGGAATCCCTTAGTTTAGTCTGACAGCTATAATGAGTTGTTTCAGTTACATCAGTCCCTTTAAGGCAGCCTTCTCATGCTTTCATACTTTACCAGTTCAAGCCATCTCTGCTAGAAATTGTAGAAATGGCCTCAGGGAGCAGAAACGTTTATAACTGCTTCAGTTCTGCTCTTGCACCAGAGAAATCTCCCCACAGATGGAATCTGAGCTTTTTCACAACCACCTTTACCTAGTGTAAAGGCTAAGCAGAAATGAAAACTCATTGCAAAGTTAAGGATTTAGCATACATCTGGTTCTTACAAACATAAAATAGAATTGTTGCACAATTCTGAAAAGTTGCATGAATTTTTGATCTGCTTTTTACCCAAATGTTACTTTCTAATAGACTTAGCATTGAGTATGAAATGAGTTTTCTTTAGCTGGAGTATTAAATGAACTGCCCTTGAATAATTTTCAAGTTGCCTGTACCAAAGTATTCAGATATTTATTTTGCTAGAGTTTTCTTCACCTCCATTGAAATGATAATGGGGAAAATGGAAAGGCGAACAGAATATTTGCTGTTTTCTATTTCCTGTCAATGTTAGGTTCATTACACATGAACCTACAAAAGCATAGTTTGTTCCTTGTGGTCTTATTCTGTGAAGTTTGTTTCAGTCTTCGGTTTTCATTTAAGATACACTCGATACCCCTTTTAAGAGTATGTATCTTAATTTGGAGCATCATGGTAATTAGGTTGATCTCAACAAGACTATTTGAGTGAGTAAAGCTAAGCATGAGCTTAAGTGCTTGCAGGATTAGTTTCTTTGTTTCTTAAATACTACAGAACTTACAGCCATTGCTTAAAATATCCAGTGCTATCTTCAGAGTATGTAAACAAACTGTATTTTATGAATTTGAAAATAAAAATCTTCTTATGCGGTAGAATATTTTTACTCAGAAAAAAATATTTCCTTCAAATTTACAGTGTTACTTACAGACTCATAAACAACATACAGCTTGTTACACAAAAAGTAATTACACACATTGCTAGAAACTGTTGGATATTTTAAGTATAAATACTCTGGCTCTTCAAGAGTAAAAGGCACGCTGTGTTGGGCCACAACAGTCATATTTTGGGTGGAATTTCAAGGCAGTTGTGAAAACTATTTCAGACTATCAGAAGACCTTAGATGTAAAAGAAAGAATTCTGTGGTATTATTTCTCCTTTCACCTAAACCTCTGTGATAAACACTTTAATTTTCTCCACTGTGTCACTCTAATGGTTTGTTTGTGGTTTTTTTTTTTTTTCTTTTTGGTCACAAACTGTAACTTTATCTCAGTAACTATGCAGGGATGATTTTTCTTTGATAGGACTATGTTAGGTAATGGAATAAAGTGATGAAGATGTAGAAGAACTCCTTTAGTCAAATCAGTCAGGTTTAGAAATTTTAAGATCAGAATCAAATATTATGATGATGTAGGCCAAGGAACTTCACTGGATGGTTCTGGATAGTGTTTAGCTATGACTGTGAATGAGTTGCAAGATGCAGGCTTTATGCAGAGAAAGAAGTTTGCCATGAGGCTAAAAGACTTAAATTTGCATTTAACATGAAAATGACTTATTTTAAGTTTGTATTAACATGAAAATAAGTAAACCTAATAGCTAGCTGGGAACAAGTGGGCCACTTCTTACTCATTAGCCCCTCCTGCTCATGCAGCCGTCTAAGATATGTCACTGCAGTTGCAGAACAACCTTGCTTGTACGGAGCATCCATATACTGTTCCCCTAACTAGACTGTGATGTTTCTTGTTCCTGGTCGTTTGTGGTCTGCTTTCAGGATGGTAGTAACCATATTACGACAGCAAGAATCACTTTGTGTTCGTTGCATACTGTGTGTTGGGGGAGGGGGTTTGTTTTGTTTTTTGCTCATTTGGCTTTTGCTGATGATTATTTTGTTTTAAACTTCAGAAAAGACAATGCTGGCAGAAAGGATCCCAGTGCCTTCCAGTCCTGTTCCCATAGCAACTATTGACCTTGTGCAGCAGCAATCGGAAGATATCATGCCTCGAACTGAGCCCAGACTCCCTCTGAAGAAAACCAAACACCAAGAAGAACAAGAGGATGTGAACAAGCCTGCCTGGGGGATCAGCTCTTCTCCTTGGGTCACCTTAGCTTATGCCATCTATCAAATAAAAGAGATGGTTAAGCTATCCAAAACCAATCCAACTCCTGAGAATCAGCCTTTGCAGGTAATCTTCTAATACATAGGATATTCTTACCATATATTCTTAATATTGAAGGTATAAACATTCTGTGGGATGTCTGAAAGACCTCAATAGCTGTGTCAATCTGTTAATACCTGACAAGCATTCTCTGTCAGCTTGTAATAAATTTGGAGCTGTGAAACAATAGTTGAAATATTGTAGCAAATAAAGTTGTGACCCATGTATATAGTACAGTAGGAGTAACTTTTTTTGCAGATATCTTCTTGAAGATAGTAGAGGGATACATGCAAAGAGACTTTTCTATAGGCTTGGATGTATTTGAATTCCCTTTGAGTCTACGTTTGTTTTCACATTATTTGGAACGTGTGTTTTTTTCCATTTTGCAAAATTAACAAGAGGATAAATGAATGTGAAGAGTACACATTCATTTTCACTCTCTTTACAGTAGAGTGTAAAATGTTTTTTATTCAGTTTTGCTTCCTTGGGCAATGCTGCCAAACATCTATGTTGTGGTGGAAATAGGTGTTCCAGAAAACTACCAATGGGATACAGAGCCTTCTGTTCAAATAGATTTCTTCTCAATGTTATTGTTTTACCAGATGGAGAGAGTCATTCTGTGACTTAAAATGTCTGATTGCTGGTGCTTACTTTACACAGTTTCCCCTCTTTCCAGTCTCCTTCCGGAATAACTTTTTAGTAATCTCATCAAGGACTGGATGGAGTTGGATCTTGAACTATCACCTAATGCTTTGGATGCACCTTTCAGAATGGAGTTGAAGCATACTGGTTAAGCAGAGTAGGAAAATGCCGTTGATACAACCTCACCACTCCTTCTTCCAGACAAGTAAACCCAGTGGTTTTAACATTACCCATGCTGTTCTCAAACCTGTATCAACGGCATTTTCCTACTCTGCTTAACCAGTCTCTAAACTGACTTGCAGGAAGAGCAAGCACCTCAGATGTCCATTAATGAACCTCTACTACCTGATGTCTTATCTGGAATGATTTTGTTTAAGCATATTAAGGAACATTGAAGATATCATTGAGTGTCTGACATCAAAGCAATCTGTCTACATAAACCACTCTGTTTCCCATTGGTAAATGTCCTCAAGGTGTTTGCTAATATAAGCTGTCCCCATTTAAAAGTCGGGGAAAAAAGCAGCAGTAGTAGAGAACTTATGCTATGTACACATCAAGAAAATAATGTTTTGCAGTTGTATGGTGTCTTAAAAAGACTTGTCCAATACTGTTGGATGCTACCTATCAATGAGAATTATTAAGTAGCCAAAAAGGCTTTCTTTGCCTGTTGGAGCTCATTGGTATCTTATAAAGGACGTGATTTCTTCATTATTCTTTCATTCCTGTAAGCATACAGTGCTGATTTAAAAAAAAAAAAAAAATAGTTCTTGTTGATGTGCCAAAACTTGATGTACTAAATTGTATTACTTCCTTCATTTTCCATAGTCTCCGAAGTCAATTTCTTGTAGCTGTTTCAGGCTTCCCAAAGGACAAACTGCCCCAAAGCTTTTCTGTTTTCTCTTCGTGTAGTCATTTTAGGCTGCTGATAGTAAAATACTGAAACTGGAAAAAGGCTGCCCAGATCTGTTACTAAATTTGTCAAATAGCCTCCTTAAAATGTGCATGAAAATAGATCATTTCTAAGGAGGATTAGTGTACAGAAAATAGAATTAGTGACAAAAATTATTCCTCCTCTTTTCATAAAGATTTTGGCTTGATAGTGCTACTGCTTGCTTATCTTCCATCAAGCAAAGGAATGCTTGCCATACTCTTTATTCTTTAATGAAAAAAATATTCACAGATAACGTGTCAGCTTCTAATGTGAAATTTATCAGTATGAAGGCTTGTTGTTTCAATCCTGGGGGATATAATTGGTGTTTGTCCTTAAATGTGCTCTCATGTTTCTTAGTAAGGCCTCTTTGAGTAGACTGGATGGAATGCATACTTGAGTATTGCAAAAGTTCTGCCACTCAAAGAGTCTGAGCAGTGTCTTGGAGAGGGAGGAACTATTGAAGAAAGCAACGTGTAAGGAGCATGAAATAATTTTACAGAATTCTTTAGTCAAAATAATGATCTTGTCTGAACACTTTAAAGTCCAATTTTTTCTCTTGAAACACAACAAGTTTGTTTTTTGCATGCTTCTTGGGGAAGTGCAGTTAGGAAAAGAGATGGAAGGTAAGCTATTGTCTTCTTGTTGTTAGTGTCATCTGCGTTTGAATGTACTACTTTTGCTTTCCTGCTTTAAGTTCATTTGTTATGTTGTGGGCGTTCAACCTTAAGCGCTTTGTGAATTTCCAGAAGTGACTGAACGCATCTGGGGGTATCCACTGGGGATAGTGCCATGAGTGTTTATACTTACTTTTTGCACACAATGCTTTCCTCTCTCTTTAGAAAATCAATGAGAATTGCAGTGCTTCACCAGCCAGCTCAGCAGGACAACCCCAAAATGTGATAGATTCTGGGCAGTCCAGAGATTGCTCAGCACCACCAACAACATCAGATTCCCAACTAGGCGGCGAGCACATTGTGTTGGACTGTGACACTCAGCCTGCTGTTGCAGGGCCCTGAGACGTGTTCATCTTATCAAATCCAGTGCATGGAATTCTGCTTCTCAGCTGGGAAACGCTGGAGTAGGAGCTCAAAAGTAGGACTTCCTTCATCTTAATGATCATACTGTGATGCAGTGCAAGCTTTTAACTATATAAAGAACATTCGTATGACTACACAGAGCAACGTGAGCTGGGAAGCCAAAAGTTTGGAATGCTTGAGGGAAGCGATGAGATTGGATCTATCTGCAGGAAGAATTTTTGGCTGCTTTGCTAAAGTTTAGTCAAATGTTATGAGATTTCTTTGCAGTCCGTAGAAAAAGGGAGGAGTTCACTTTTCTCTTGCTCAGGCACAGAGTATCTGACTTAGTCAGCTTATTTTTTTTCTTTAAATTTGTTCCTAAGACAAAGAGACTTTAGGAGAGAAACTGAGTTTCCCTGAATATTCTTTTAGAAAATATCAGACCTGATAAATATAGGTACAGAGACAGTTTCATGCTGTTAAGATTTCTCAGAAACAGAATGGCTTTAGCAAGCATATCTTCATATTGAGGTGATGGATTAAGTAAAACACACAGCCTATTCTTTGAAGGCAACATTATCATGTTTGAGATACAGGTCTAGTTCTGCAAAGCAGAGATATTGAACTGGCATTTTAGTGAAACAAAAAAAACTGGAGGAAGGGTTTTAAAAAAGCTAACCTCTGTGCTTGTAACTCTCAGTTGGGGCCTATGTTGTGTGTGGGGGGGGTAACTTTAGGGTTGAAGTTGTATCAGGACAACAATCTGATCAAGATTGCGCAAGCTGAGATTGATCAAGGTTTTCAATGGACACTGACTTTTTATTTTTTTATTTCATCATCTATACAATGGTTTATTTAATGAAGTGTTGTTACTGTGGTTATTTATTAAGAAAACAGTAAGCTTTAAGTGCCTGGGGAAGGTGGGAGGGCAGGGATGAATTACCTATAACTTGGTTAGGATTTCAGGGGGAAAATTGTTGATGCAAAAGTCAAGTAACATGAGAGATTCTCAGGAGGAAGGAAGTGTAGCTAAATAGCAGTATGTTTAGAAAATTACTTTGCCCAATGTCAGAACACTGCAAGATTTCTGAATTATGTTTTGCCCTGCTTTTCAATGTTAACTGTGGCCAGCTTAGTTGCTGGTGCACAGTGTAAATTGCTGCTGAAAGAAAAATTCTTGGGCTCAAGGTAGGAGTCTGTGGGGTTTAGTCAGGATAGTGTTTTGGCCCCCTTGCTTCCATTAACAGCTTGATCCTGGGAGATGCTGAGCACTCAGCTTTTACAGGACTGAGTAAGTACTGCTTAGCCCTCCTTGGAAATCAGGCGTATGTGATGCACCTTCCATGGGGAAGGTGCCTGCTGTACAGCCTGTGCAATGATCCAGGTGCAAGTTTCACAGGAGCACAGGGTTGGGGGAGAAGAAGGTGACAGCAGCTCAGAAGGAAAGAGGATATGCAGTTTCACCCACTTTGAAATCCAGTTAGCTTGACTGAAGGGTCTCCCATAGCTGTGCGTTAGCTGTGCTTTTAGTACAACCCATGTTCTGGTGCCTGGGACCAACACCATAGAAAATAAAAAGAAACATTGATAACTAGCCACTAGTTACTTTTTTTGCACTTGAACTTAAATGTACTGTACTCATGTAAATCCTCATGACTTGTTTAAGTGTCCTTTAAAACCAGAAATGTATTTATTGTATGTTTGTATAACTTGGGGGAGAACTAACAGAACTGAACAGGTGACAGGACAGAAGGATGCTAAGAATCATCAGGCAAACCATTTGTAGAGTTCATGCTGTATGGTGTTACCTCAGCTTTTACTGCATAGCACCTGGATTGTGAGGTGAAGAGCTTGTACACTGTGTTTACACTTCAGAATTGTTTATTTGAAATGCCTGCTCTTTTTGGAAATGTACAGTCATTCTGTGTTGCAAAATGGACATGTACACCTGGGTTTTGATATTTGTGAAACTGTAAAAAGTGTAGTAAGAAATATAAAATAGTCATAATGTATTTAATAGTATCAATCTGAGCTTTTATTACATTTGCTTATTTTATGGCATCAGCAGTGAACGTAATCACCTGAATTGAAAATAATTAAATTATAATTACCTTTTGCAAGGTTCAGTTCCTGAAGGACAGTGAATCTAGAACCTTGGAGCTACTATCTTGTGTGGTGTTAAAGACTGTTTAGGTGATAAAGTGTGACTCTAGGCACAAACTGCCTTTTATGGGGTGAGGTTAGTCTAGGGGGTGCACACCTAAATGCATCATAAACAGGCTGATATGAGAGTGAGCAAATCCTTCTCAGGACATGAGTGAAAGTAAAAGCTGAATTAAGCTCGTCTCCTAGCAAGTTATGAAAAAGAGGCTGGTATAGAAATACTTCCAATTTCTATTTCGGATTGATTAACTATATTTGCACTAAAGCACCTGCTCTATACAGCAGCGCATTTACCTGGTATTTATTTTTATTTTAGGTGTAGGAAAGTTCAGTTTTTACTATTCCAACTGCTTAGTTTGTGTGCATACAAAAGTCATGAAAGAGGGAAATCTGAAGGAAAGTGGTGGTGGTGTTCCCATGTGTGTAACTGCCAGACTTCACTTGTAATCTTATGAAGTTGCCTTTGTCGTGATTTGCATCTGCTATGAATGGAGAATGAGTAAGGCAAATTCCTGTAGGGAGATGCATTCGAGGTAGAGGATGTGCTCCATTTCGAAGCTGCCACAGCTAATACACAGCTACTGTTTAAATCTGCTATGATGCAGAAGACCTAAGGACATGAACACACATTTTCATTAGCTTGGCTCCTTTTTGATAGGTGCCCTGTTGCTCTGAAGAGAGTAAATACATAAGGTGTGACCACACAGTTGAAAAAATACTTTTATTTAAAAATCCTGAATGCAAAAGACAGTACATCAAGTACGTTGCACCATGAATGCAAAATAAATACGCAATTCTAACTTTTAAAAACACTGTGAAACAGAAGATAAACATAACTAACTCATCCTTCATCAAGGAAGAAACACTTCTCTAATGCATAAGGCACTGGATTAACATCTAGATTCTTTCTCCAGATGTTCTGGATGAACACTGGACAGCACTTAACAATTGTGTTTCAGTAAACCTGTGTAACCTCCATATATCACAGGAGCACTGTGCAAGTAAACTCACTGTTGGTAAAGGCCTCAAATGACAGCAGTCACTTTTGTTGTGTTTTGTTGTGTTGTGTTTATGAAATACTTCAAATGTTGAAACAAACTTGGGAGGGTTTTTAAGGTCAGTATCAGCATTCTTAGCTATCCGCTAAAGTAGTTATCTTTCTCAATATGTTGCTATACTTCTTTTGGATGTGCTTAATAGTTGCTGTACTTTGGATAGCATTTATCCATCCCATGGGCTTTATAACTATGTAAAACTTGGGTTTTGTTTTTTCCACTTTGGAGTAGGTGTACCTGATATTTTTCTAAATAATTTAGCAAAAGGAAAAGAATCTGAAAAATTATCTGTTATTTGAGCTTTTCCATGTAAGATATCTCATAGCCAAATAATATATGAAGATAATATTTTACCTATTGTGTATAAATACACACTATATATCTGCAGGAAGACAATCACCACTAACTCAGTAAAAAGAGGAAGTCCAGACAGATTGTGTGGGTTTATTAAGCTAGGACAAAATCTGATTCTTCTCTTGGCCTCAAATCTCATGATCAGCAGTTCTTAGCTAGTTAAGAAGTGTACTGAAAAAACTTACTTGCTTTAAAACAGGCAAGAGAGAGATTTAAAATTAAGATATCCCTGCAAGAATCCTTTTCTGATTAATTTTGTAATAGTTTTTGAGTATTTCATTTTCACAGGGGCAACACAGGCAAAGGCGAAATAAATCTTCGGTCTACTAAGGTCATCATTACAATGAGGGAGTTTCTATCCTTCTGTCAAACCATCAAAGGTAATGGGGCTTCCCTCAATTTTCACAACAGCTAGTACTTCTAACTTCTAGCCAGTGACAGAACCCACCCAGTCAAACCAGACTGATGGCATATGGGTGGCAATTTAACTATGAATTTGGTAGCAGCCTCTCTTAGAGGTGACTAGAGCGTTTCTTTTGCCAATGACCTTGCTGAGTAGAACTTTCTTGTTCTATCTATTTGTGAACGTTATTGACTTACAAGTGAACATATTTCTGATCACTGGCTTGACAGGGCTTCTCTCCCCTAAATATGCTATAGACCATGCATATCTATTTCTAACTGTATGGCACAAGAAGGTGTTAAGCTTCTCTTCTCTATAGAATGGAAAAGTTCTTTTTAAAATGAAGCTACCTGAAAATGATACAAAGGAGGAAGAATGATCTAAGTGATGCTTATGAGCATTCAATGTGAGTCATGTCTTGTGGAAAGGAGCTCTTGGAATGTGGAAAGGCAGTAGTTTTTAAGCCTTTTACTGGAGGTAACAGATTTTCTCCCTTGTCCAGAGACGTACATAAGACATCACAATTAGCTGCGCACCACTGAAGTGATGCGGCATCAGTAGGTGTGCTACAACGAAAAGGTATTCCTTTCAGAGATGATGCATTTTGGTCTGAAATGCCTTTCTGGAGAGTAGACTGCTTCCCACCACTGGCAGTTCCTGGAGGGCTTGTTAGAGAAAATTACTGTCTCTTGCTCTCTGAAGTTTGGAGACAGTAAAAGAAAACAGCAAGGGTGAGGACAGAAGAATATAGGGAAAGCCTGAAGAACAAAAGAAGAAAATCACCCCTGTAGATGGATGAACTGAGGGGCAATGATGTATCCCTAGCCTAGTACTGTGTAATACATAAGCTGTAAGACAAATGACTGTCTAAGGTTTTCTCCCCATCCCCTCTGTTCTCCTCACGCACATCTCCTGTCGTAAGTCCCAAAGAAGGGGAGAGAAGAGTCAGGTATTTCTCCCTACTTGTTTTGCTAGGAATGTTTCTTTGTTTTGTTTTTCTGTTTATTGAATGAGCTAACCACTGAATACTCTGAGGATAGTGTGGCTATTTGTGGGTCATTCCCACTTACATGACTTTAGCATCACTGTGGCCCCATTGATAGCAATTCCTCCAAGCAGCTGAAACATCCTCAGGCTTTGTTACCTTTTCTAGGCTCTTCAGCGAGGGCTGGAATGGAAGGCAATGCCCTTCTGAGGTAAGGTGAAACAGAAATTGAAAGCATTAATAGAAGACTGAAGAAAGATGCAGTGGAGGGGACCTGTAGAAGAGGGAAGAAGTGTGTGTGAAGAAATAAAAATGTAGAAAGAACAAAGTACAGCATAACTAGAGCACAGAGATGAAGAACAGAGCAATACAAGCAGAGGGATGAAAAGTCAGGTAGGGTTCCAAAGAAGAGCTTAAAATTAATGTGGGAGGCAAAATGAAGCTAACAAAGAGCAAGCCTAGCCAGAAGAGCAAACAAAAGTGTGTTCAGCTTTGTTAACTCTCTGTGGATCTTTAGCACTGAAAAGTTGCATGAATGATAGAACTGGCTTATCAGCATACTATGATCATTATTAAATTTGTTAACATGTAGGGCACTTAGTAAAAGTAGAGCATTAATAATGACTTTTCCTCCGTCTAGTGCTCGGCACAGAGGACTTGACAATGAAAAGGGGCAAAACAGATTCCCTCTTTTCTAGAGGTAGTATCCTTGGGGAAACAAAGCATGGTACTGGGACAGGCTGCTGCCAGTACTTGCTTTGGAAATAAGCAATGTTTATTTCTACAGCTAAAGTACTAATAGCATGGGAATCCTCTTCACTTGAACAGCCTATAAGACTTTTATCTGTTGCTCTAATCAGGTACATCAGTGATACAAGAAACAATCTTTCAAAGATGCTTGCCTAGTCCCTGGCATCCATAAGAAATCCCCAAGAGTGAGTTTTCTGTCTGTACCCTTCCTTTCTAGGAAGAATGTCCCCTTTTTTTAGGGTGTTTTCCAAAGCTCAGCACAACTCAGTACCGTATGGAAATGAAATTTGTTCATTTTCATCTTCATCCTCATCATCTCCTTCTTCATAGATGGAGTTGGCTGGTTCACCCTGCTCTGATTCTGCCCTTGTGTCAAAGAGCTGCTCTTCCAGGAAGACGCTTCCAATGCCATATTCCTCATCATGTGCCTTTGTTTCTGCAGGTGAGACATGGGGAGATCCCAGAACAAAACCTGCAAACCTGCCAGATTTTTAAAGAGGAGTGATCAGTTGGGAAGCAAAAATATACTGTAAATGCGGGAAGTACTGCCAATTAAACAGGGAGGTTGTGAGAGCATAGCCATGTGCAGTGCAGGAAAGTCGTGGCATAAGCTAGGGCGTCATGCACGACAGAGTATATAGCAAAGAACGGCAAAAGCTCTGAACGTGTCTCTTTTAGTGGCCATCTGCAACTGGCCACTTGTGACTAAGCAAGAAGATCTGACTTTGATTTTTCACCTTGTCGGTGGTTGTGGGGTAATCCAGAGTAAGAAACTGACCCCTGCCTGTACTTAGGTAGATAGTACTTCAACTTTTAAAAATAAATTCAAATTCATAGTGTATTTAAGACAAAGGCTGTAAGAATTCAGGTAAGCCTGACATTCTGCTAATGAAGGCAAAAAGGGTGAGGACTTAATGCTTCCATGTTCCTGTGCGATCACCTTGCTTCTTTACCGAATGCTCTGGGCAAGCTGAGACAAAGTCTTCCAGAAGAATTTCTGCTTTTGGTGAACTCTGAGCTGCAGACTGGGAATTCTGCAGCTGCTCCAAGTAAATGCTAAACTGGTGGTTTTGCAGAATGAAGCACGAACTTAACACTGTCCCTACATTTCAATTTGCAATAAATCTTACTTTCAGTGGACAACTATACTGAAAATAGTCAGAATGAAGCTGGAGGTTTGTGGCAAGTGCATGGAAACAGATGGCAGTTCTGACACCTGGGTAAGTGTCGACAGCATCAAAGAAATGTTTTTAAAAAAAAAAAAGGAACTGCAGCTATATTTTACATTCTGGTAAACTGATCAATAATTTACATTTTAGATTTAACATTTCTTTGAGATGAATGTGTCACCTCACTCTTCTTCACAGCATCGTTAGTTTATGTGGGGAACAGTGTTGGACTCGCTCCATTTTCCAGGTTTGCCTTGTGTTGAACTATCTTCTGATAGTTAATGAAAGCTTAACGACATACTCAAATCAGACCTCTGCTCGTTCTCCTCATTATTTTTGTAATTTTATTGGGAACAATTTGTAATAATATTAAATGAACTAAAATAAAGAACGATATCAACAAAACTAAAGAATAGTATTAACTAAGCTAATCAGAGAACACGTGCCTCAATTGCTTGCTCTGTGCATTTGGCAGGTTGGTTTGTTTACAAAACTGCAGTTGAGTTTTCACTTTTTGTATCCTTCAGTAGTGCTACAGAATGCAAGTAGCTTAGAAAATAAGCTCGTTTAACAGGAAATCTAAAAACTGGCAGAGGTGCTGTCTGGGTGTCCATCCAAGGCAGATGGAGCTTCTGAAACTAGTTTTAACTTTATATTGATTAAATGCCAAGCTGATGGTGGCTCCTTTAAAATTGTGACAATTGGTTCTGGGGTAATGGCCAAGTCTTGTGTGGCTGGCTAATATGTGAAACTCTACTCCTAATATTTTAAAGTTTTGAGACTGAAAAAAAGTACACAGCAATCATTTATATTTTCTACAAGCTTTTCTTGCTACATTTACCAGACCCTTTACTTTACAACCCTTATTTGTCTTAAGTTTGTCTCTTAAGCTGTATCTGGAGTAGCTCCTCTACTCATTATACTTCCTAGGTGCAGACACCACTGTTTGCACAGTATTCTTAGTCTTAGATACTGGTTGATGCTTTACGCAATAGGTTTCCTTAGCTGTGCTGGCTTGCAGTTAGAGAGCTTAATGCTGCTAATATTTGAGCAAGTTATTGTCAACCTGCCCCAGTTTTACAGAACATAAGGGTATTATTCCTCAATTTACAGAAGGAAAGGGACGTTTCACTGGTTAGACAGCCCCCTGGGTCACTAGGTAGGAACTTGCAGAGGCATTATAGGAAGTGTATAAGGTGTGGGGAAAGCTGTCATTACCGTGAATTAGCTTTGAACCTCTGCAAACTCTCAGGAATTCATGGTCAGAGGGGAACAAAAAGTGGGTATAATATCACCAGCAAGTAATATCCTGGAGAGTTGTGCCTATTATCTGTAGCAGGATCACCCACGCAGCTAAAGCTAACTCCATATTCTAACTGTATGTAAAGATAAACTAACCTGGAACAGAGCTTGAAGTAGTATGTGTATCTGCTGTGTTAGTATCCATACAATGCAGTTACTGTTTTAGAAAAGCCAGATTTTCTTACCTGTGGGGGGACTGGAGTTTGGATACTGCTAGCCACGATGGGAAGTCAGGGTTCCTGCAGAATGAACGTAGCTCCTCCAGAGCTCTGATAGTTTCTGTTTCACCTTGTTCTCTATATTCTTCTTCAGTAAGGCATCTAATCACTAACTTTTTTGATTTAAAGTAGTTCTTCATTTTTCTAAAACAAAATGAAAACAATTAGTACTTCTAAAGTCTTCTGGCATGTGTTTCTCATGCCATACAGACAGTCCACCTAATGATGGGCCCATCCTTTTTCTCTGCTATCTACTATTAACATGCATTAATCATCTTTTATCCCTTAAAGGGAAAAGCCACATACTTGTATTAAAATTTTAGGATAAGGGGTCTAATATTTGTTAGCCTGTTTACTCAGGGTCTCATCTGAAGCTGTAGCATTCCACAGAAAAGTATCCAATGAACTTCAAAGGAGTCTTAGATCAGGTCCTTTCTAAATACTTTATTGTGTATGCATGGACTAAAACCTCATAAATATCGAATAGATGGCTGCTAGCTCAGCCATTTTTAGGTGCAATATGCAAAATGTGCCTGTGCAGAGACACAGGCTGAATCAAAAGCCAGTTTGCATGTATAACTTTGCAGATAAGCAATGCTCTAAGTCTGTTATGAGTTGTTAGTGTTGTTTACTAGATCGCTTCTCTTAAATCTTGCTTTAAATTACACAACTGAGTAGTCTGAGGCCAAAATGTTTACAATCTGATTTTTTTTTTAGCTGTTGCGTAGCAATGTATAATATAATTAGATATCAATTAGAAAGCGTGCCATGTTCTGTTCCCTTCTGTCAACTGCTTTCAATTTAAATGTTGTGATGAGTTAAGATAAGCAAGGGCTGGATGCCCACAAAACTTGCAGCTCTGTATAAAAACACCTGCTCCAACCATCAGCGTTCAACTTTCCTTCTTACTCCCCTGCAAGGCAAGAATGAACTGCAGCCCTTGTTTGGGTCAAACAGATCAGTACTGATCTTAGTAACGGACAGATAATGCAAGATTAATTCTTGGTTGTGTTGACATATCTGCTGCTCTGAACTGTGTATTTTGGCCTTAGAGTATCTGAACATGTGTGTGTACACACACACACACACATAGATATATATATATAATATGCATCTCTGTGCGTGTGTCTGTGTTCTGAACTGTGCATCTTGGCCATCTTGAGCTCAAAGTTTGGTGCTACTGCTTAATGTTTCCAAAACAGGGGAAAAAAACTTCAAATTTTGGGAGAATGAGGATGCATTTTCAAAACCAGGAAAAGAGATTTGTAGTGCTATGTTTCAGTGCTTTTTGGCTCTACAGAAGCATCAATTCATTGAAAAGAAGAACGGGTCTGTGTGAAGAACAAACCACAGTGTATCAGGGTAAAATACGTATGTTCTGACTTCTGTCAAATCTTGCTAATTTCAGAGCGAGTTGAGCCTGCTTACACCAGGTAAGCATTGATCCTATATGCTGCTGTTGAAACAGTTTGTACTTTTCAGCTGGTGGAAAAATCAGTCTTTGATAAATAACAAATGCTGCCTAAAACAAAAAAGCTTCAACCTAATCCACACCTGAACAGCCACACATAATACAAGAGCAAAGCAAGATGTTCTTCAAAACTAAACAATGTGTCAAAGACTAAAAAAGAAATTAGTATTTGTTTTTTATTCTTTCGGTTATGCTAGTTGTAGCCTTTGCCTCTTCCTGATTCTTTGAGGGTCAGCAGAAGTCCACAGCCATGGAATAGTCTGCACTAAAGACTCTCTTAATCTGGATGTCATCACTGAAGGTAACGAGGAGCTCTAAATTGTTGGGATTTTTTTTTTGAATAGTCATTTGTATGTTATGTTTGTGATAAAACACACTTTAAGATCAGGAAGATCAAACATGTTGTACCCATACCACTAACTAAAATGCTTAGCAAACTAAGGTCTACGTATTGCAAGCGGTTCCAATTCCAAATGCCACATTGTATAAAAGGGGCTCTGGGAATATGTTGGAATGTCTTCAAAATTATAACTGTTGCCATGCAGTAAGGGTAGACAAGTACATCTCTGATAATAAACCTGGAATACTAAAATCGGTGGAAACCATTACTTTGGTGGAACAGTCCCAGGTTTTTAGTCCCTGAACTCTACCTGACACCGATAGCTAACTAACCTCCAAGAATTTGTCAGTATTTAACATCTACTTACTAGGTGATAGTATGCTGTTTTATCCTGTAAGATTCAGTGCAAGTTACCTGCAAATTCTGTATCACAGCACATGAAACCAAGATGGCATTGCTGCAGTCTAATCAATCAGCCAAACAAAAATGTGTTGATTACCATATGCTGCAGACTAGAAGGTGCTACATTTGTATCTAAGAGCACAGTCACGTTTCTCCACAGAACAAAAGTAATGCTTAGAACTGCCAACTAGGAAACAATTAAATTCTGTGTCTTATGGATTTAAACATCTCCTAACGTAGCTTTACGTTTGGTAAAAATATGAACTAGCACTAGAAATTCACAAATCGTAATCACATTGTAAGGGCTTTTTTCATTATTAACCACTATTATCACCTGGTGACACAGGGATTTGGATGTTCACAAATACATACACACCTGCCTATGTGACAAGCAGCACCAAGGGGATAGCACAGGCCTTTTGAACAGAGACTAACTGCTATTATTGTATATGCAACTTGAGGTATGGTGACACCGCAGTAAATCAAGGCAAAGGCTATTAATTGTAGTGTCCATGTGAAGACGGTTATGCTCAGTTCACTGGTAAGTGGTCCATGCTGATAGCAAGTGGCAAAGCTTATAATTCCAACAGCCAAAAAATACCCTGTGGAAACAGGAAAGAATGACATGGAGAAATGACATGGAGAAAAAGATACAAACTACCCATATATGCTTTAGTACCTGGGTTGGCAAAGTATAGATAGCCTGCAGTTTCTTGTGTTGCCCTGTAGGTACCTGAGACACGTTATATGCCCTTTGGATTTAAAATGCATGCAAAGAGTTCACAAAGTGATCTATGAACAGCCTTTAGCTAATGCTGCACAAGAACCCTTCCAAGAGAGAATGTCAAAGCAGGTGCCAAATCAGCAGGTTTGTCAGCCCCTGCAGCACATCCAATTACCAATTTGTGCATTCACAGTTCCCAGTGCCAGCAAAATGCAAGCCTGCACAGCTACCCTTTTGCTGTTTTGGGAAGAGTATGAAATGGCAAATTAATGAAGAAGTAATACAGGCAAAATCTGCTTTTAAAGCTGCTATTGGCCCACTATATTTAATGTGCAGTAAATTATCATTTGAGTGGATTAGGAACCTTCAGAATATCTCAACATCTCTGGCTCAGGAGAAAAAAAGTAAATAATAAATGTGAGTTACTTGCCCTTTCTTTATGAGCAGGTATTAATCTAATCACTAAATCAACCCAAAATACGCAGTGCGTTTTCTTATCATTCTGATCAGTCTCTTACCCAACAGGTAGTTCCTGTGTTCAGACCACAACCACTGCATGTTCTCTTTGAAACAGTAAATGAAATACAGCGAGGACATCCAGCAGCCACTCATTAAAATCCAAAAGGTACTGTGCTGGGGGTGGGGAAAGGAAATATTTCAGGTGAAGAGTTACTTTTATGATGGTAGCATCAAAAATCTCAGCCAGAATCAAGACCACTCTGTGCAAGGGAATTCCCAGGCAAAGACAGATGTGATATTTGGTAGACCTACCGGGCTTATGATCTGTGTTAGACTTCCATTATACAGTGCCCTGCATGCTATAACTAAACAATATCAAATCTAAGCGGAGCAACTGCATTTCTGTATTTGTGTACACATCCCTGTGTCATGGTATGAGCCCATTACATCCTCTTGCAATGTGCTTCCAATTAACGTATCTCAGAATTGTGACAACAATGCACGGGGATAAAGGATTTGTGAAGTGAAGGAAGTTTGTATCTGCCTCGAGTTGCATTTTCTCTGGTGAATAGAAGACAATCTGTCCCAATTGCCACTAAAGCTCTGGTCTGAATAAGCTTAGCTCCAGTCTAATAAAAACAATTCAAGTTTCAAAATAAACTTTTCTTGTGCATCAACAATCTCCATTCATTTTAAACTTGGGAGCAACCTGATTAGAACTCGATTCTGATTTTATTACAATGACTCGATACAAGCAATCCTGCACCCATTTCAGTGCAGTTACCTGGCCACAAAGTCAGAGCAAGGTCTGAATCTGGACCTAGACTCTTCCTATGTTATGATGATGATGATTACTATTATTATTTTGGTTTACAGATGTAGATTTACCCTTGGAATAAATCTTTTAAGCGTCAACAGGAGAAAGACTAGCAGTGCAAGAACACCCAGTACTATTCCAGAAAGGTAAAAGAACTTGGGGCTTCTGTAAGAGAACAAGAGAGAATACCGTAAGAAGTTTTTACTAAATTGCAATTGATTAAAAATGCCTCCTTTGTAAAGGAAGCAGTGGTCTTCAGTAAGAAGACAACTGCAAATCAGAGGTTGCAGTAATGTGATTAACAGGTCCTGTATAAATTATAAACCCATACAAGAAAAATCCCCAAAGAATATCATAAAATCACTGCAGTGTTAAAGGCGCAGGCTAGAAGGTTGTCATCTTAATGTTCACATTGTTTCTGCTTTTATTGAATTTTTAGTTTCTAGTCATTTTGTTATACAAAGATATAGTTATGCATTGCAAGGTAAATTTTCAGTTTAATTTAAAATGTTTAAAAACATTTTTTTTTTTTTACAGATTGTTTGTATAAAATCTGACTTAAAAAATGCAATAAGGAATTAGCTCTATAAAACCTATTGCTGCTCTGCTTGTTTTAAAGATGTCATCTGACAATTAATTTCTGATTCATTTTGCTTTGACGTCCTGGGCCAAGTATTTTGCTAGAATAAGTAGTATCCTCCCTTACATACTATGTAAAATGTGCATCAAAAGAACAAAGAGAAAAGGCTGTCGTGAAGGTGGAGGCAGACCAGGCCCCAGATGACCTCATCCTAAGCATTTCTCCCTGCAGGAATGCATCATTTATAATACATACAGCATCCTTTAGCATTCAGCTAACCTCACTCATCTTCAAAAGGGAGAGAGGTTTTTTTAAATCCACGCATACTTGCTCACTCAAGATTGTCTTGGTGTTTCCCTGAATTTCTCATGACTGCAGGAAGTTAGGCTCTAGAGAACCCTATCATAGCTATGTGATGAATATACCACAACACTCCGAGGCATGGCACAATTATCTATACCTGAATAGTATGAAGAAGTTTAAATATATGTTTATTTTCCTCATTTCACTGTCCCAAAAATCAGCTGTTTGGCATCTTTTGCTTAGGTAACAGACCAAAGATGGACAGACATTGGGAAAGAAGGTCAAAACACAGGGACCAGAACTTACCTGCTAAGACTGTTTGCAAAATGGAACAGAAAAATTCCAACTACAAACAAGAACAAGATCTTTCCGTCTAGCACTAAAAAAGGAAAAAACAAACAAAAACGGATTTTAGGCTTATTCAATCTGAAATGTTGATTATATATAATATTAACAGAAAAGTCTAAGCTTCCTACATAAGAAGTAGTGTTTATTAACACTTGCAATACCATTTTATTTGTAAGCTAAACTGAAAACATTATTACTTACTTTTTCGTTTTACACTCACAAGATATGGTTCTTTCTTGAAGGGCCGTATTTTGAAACAAATATCCTCTCCATATTGTTTTATGTTTATGAAAGTTTCTGTAGATGTCTCTGCTTGCCAGAAGATTCGAACAGCGCATGCAGCAAACTCAAAAACTGTTTCTGAATTACGACAGTTGCTTTTGTCTGAAATAGGCACGAACTCGAATGTTTCTGTGCTGTTAACTTTTATCTAAAATCAAGCAATAACAAAATACCTGTAGCAGTAGCTCAGAAACACTGGGTTTTTTTGTTTCCGAAACACATAGCATATAACTCATGCATATGATGAAAATCAATATAGAGAGCTAGAGAATAAAATGTTAGTTCAATTCTTTGTTAGTTGTTTAATCTTACTATATACAGTTTGGGCCTTAAAAGGCAATTCAGAGAACTCGCAGTCAACAAAGTTCTAAGGGCCTCAATCCGTTCAAAGGCTTTGTGGGTTTGGTTTCACCTGTGACAGTTGCCCACACATAAATTTGTAACAAAACCTGTAATTTTTGACTGACCACAGTTTCTTTTGTGGATGGTCACAGTCTTTCCCATTCTACTTATGAACCATAAGAAACTGAACTTGCTTTTGTCTTAGAAAAGAACACAATCTTCATGTTCAGGACAGAAGAGGGAAAAGGAAAATGGAAGATATCATAAGTAAAAAATTAAGCATTAAGGAGGTTCCTGTTGTATCTTTTGGGGTTAGTTGTTGTTGGTCTCCCCCCAAAAACTGTAACAGATCTTGTCCATGTTCTGAGATGGGACGAACTTCCTCAAGACCATGACTGCAAACTCTTGAACAGAGTTAGACAATATTAGACAATGAAGACCCATCTACAAAAAAGTGCTGTAATAGGTACTAAAACAGGCTTGTACTAGGAGCAAGCAATTTGTTGCAGGAAAAATCTTAACTTCCTGGTTTTAAGCACTTACTCCGAGAAAGCTTGCATGACTGCTGGAGGGTTTCACTGCTTAAAATCTGCTGCCATACACAAAAACATCTCTGTCATGTTCCTAAGAAAAAAGTCCTGGCAATAGATAAAAAGATGTTCCTGTTCCTTCTATCTCAGAGCCAATGGATGTGAAGCAAAACTGTTTCCTTCCCTTGTCCAGTGACGTACTTCCCAGAAAAAAAGGAACCAAATAGATACTCAGCTTGTTCGTTACCCTGTCATTACTTTCTATGTTTTGAGGTTTTTATGTTTCAAGTCTGATGGTCTAAACATGTTTCTTAAAAGAAGACTCTGTAACTCTGTGAAACATAAATATACTGCTACTGCTGTTTTTTTACCAGTCATGATCTAATACACCTTTCATTTCTATACTGTGGCCTGCAATACTACAGCTAAGTGATCCACAGAGCTGCATTACAGCCTCAAATGAAAAAGTTTGATAAAGATGTTTGGTGATAACCTCTGTAACATGTTTTTGCTTAACATTTGTTACAGAGGTCCATCAGTAAAAAAAAGCTGTGCAACAAAACAACGTGCAACACAAAGTAGATGTTTGGCCTCTTGCTGTAAGACACAGCCTGGCTGACGTCCTTCTAATAGAGAATGCAAACCTCCGCTGCACCCAAAGTGAATGAGCACAGTACTATAATGTAGTTTTATCATGGTCCTACCTATATACCATTCAGACTATCAATTATACACAAAGATACAACTTTGATCTTGCTAACGGATCAAATACTGTGCTGGGGAAAGTACTGCTTATTTGAATGATCCCAAAAATAGACTCTTACCTGAACAGTTGACCAAATATATTGTAAATGCATGATTCTGTTTTGCACATAACAGTAACAGTTTTCATCCACTTCCTGGATGACATCCTTTTCCTCCAAAAGGCTACAGTTTCCATCTGGTGGGGGGAAAAGTTGATTTTAAGTACGTATCTAATACAAACATATAATCTTCCTCCTTTTTGCCTCCTCCTCAGTGTTCAGTAAAAAGCTTGGCTTTTATAACGGTGTTTTTGATGGCACTGGAACAGGGCCTTTGGGCCAAATTCATTGCTGGCATGAGTGGGTGTAACTGCACTGTAGTCAATGCTTATACCGATGGTGAATGCAACTGTGGGAGTCTAAGCAGGTAAACAGGCTTACATATTAAAATAGTCATTTAGCACATGACATTGCTGCTGATTGCAGAAATCTCACAGTCATCTCTCACTGAAATGTTTATAATGTTAAATAATGTAACTCTTCTTTTAAAAACAATTTGTCCCTTTAGTAGTATCATCTTTCCTGACATATTCCAGCCATAACATGTAATAGGGAAACTGCACTGATAGCTTGCCAAAAGTCATTTAATTAGGGCTGCTAATTGGTCTAACTCTCCTGAAATGTTAGTGACCCCCCGCCCCCCTAGAATTTTC